TTGAAAATGTGGGTGTTACTAAAAGTTTTTTTCCTTTAAAAATGAAATACAAAGAACAGGGAAGCGTTTTGTGATGCCGGCATTCAAATCTGCATTGTCTTTTCTGGGCCTAACTGGGTCCTTTTGCCTTCTAGGGCCCCTTCCTCCATTCAAATAACAGTAGCAAAAATAACCCTATTAAAATCATATGACCCTGGCTGGTGTAGCTCAGTGGATTGAGCACGGGCCTGCGAACCAGACAATAGTGGTTTGATTCCCAGTCAGGGCACATACTGGGGTTGCAGGCTGGTTCCCTGCAGGCCAGTTCCCAGCAGGGGACACATGAAAGGCAACCATACATTGATGTTTCTATCCCTCTCTCCTTCCCTTCCCCTCTAAAGATAAATAAAATTTTAAAAAATCATATGAAAATTAATGCATTAACACATTTTCAGCGACCTAAAAGTTTTTCTTCTGATTTTAGAAATTAAAATAAATCTTTGTGAGCCTCTAAAAATACCCTAGGCCCTATGCCCTGTGCTCCCTTACCCTGAAAAAAATTACCTATTCACCTAGGAAGTAACTCGCACACACCCACGCACGCACACCCTCCAACTTTCCACCCGTGCCCTATGCAGGTGTGGGCAGTAAGAATTCTGGCATCTGGGGAGAGGATGAAGGCGTCTTCAGCCTGCAGCTCAGAAACAGCCGGGAAAGGAGGAAACAAACCGTGAAGGTCGGTGCCCTGCCTCTGCCCGCAAACTGCTCGCACGGCCAGCGTGTCTGTCCACTGGCAGCCCGAAGATGGCGGCCGAGCCCCCAGAGTCCACGCAGCAGCCAAATGGCAGGCAACAGGCGGAAGTACGCCCGAGCGACCCCACTAGGATGGGAGCCCTAGCGCGTAACCCGGCCAACGTGCGTGACGTGCGTAAAGTGCGCCGCCGTCTGAACGTGGGGCCAGACTGGAGACCACTTGGCAAAGCCCAGCGAGAAGCCAGCGTGGAGGGGCGGGGCTGCGGCGAGACAGTGCGGAGGCGGGGTTATGGGGGAGAAAGAGGAAGCGGGGAACAGGGGATGGCTCCAGAGGGAAGCCCGAGGGGAGTGGCTTGGGAAGTGGGGAGACGGCGGTAGCTGGGCGTGGCGCGATTTCCCCTGCGCCCCTGCGCGCCCGCCCTGGGAGGAGGGTGCTGCCAATTTTCCGGACTTCTCGCTTCCGGTTTAAACCGCAGTGATTTTTCGGGTTTGCATGGCTCTTTGATAGCAACATTTCAGGGGAGCACCGTTCTTTCTCCAAGTGTGGTCTCCGGACCAGCTGCAGCGGCACCACCTGGGTAATAGAAAAAATGGGAATGGCCGGCTCCTACCTCCGGTGTAGTGTTTCAGAGGTGGTGCAGCGGGGCCCAGCAGTCCGATTTCGGTGCACATCCAGTTGGAGACTGCTTCTAAGTGGGGCGTGTCCCTTGGTTCCGGTGTCGGAGATGATCTCTCTCATATCGGCTTAGCCAAACAAATCTGTTTCCCTTCAGCAACGTTATCAAAGCCAAAATAATGCTTGGATCTCACCCACTCAGACCTGGAAACCAGAAGATAACTGAAAAATAAACTATGTTTAGAACAGGGGTATGTTAGGAGAAAGATTCGAATTTAAAGTTAATACAGAATTCCAGTTCTTCACAAATTTTATTAGTAATGACATCTCACTCATAGGCTTTTTTGCCACCCTTTCATTCAGATTTCTGTAAACAAAGGTAGTCCTTGGGAAATAATGAATTACCAGTAAGTAACCTTGTAACACGAGTAAATTCCATTTTTATGATTAAAGCAAAAATAAAATGATAAGTCTAGAACACTCTGGGCTTCTCCACTCCACTCAGGTAATGATCTTTCTATAAATCTGTGGCAAAGGAGCATGGATGGGATTTCTGGGAGATAAATACTAATTCGTAGGCAGACCAGAGTTGTATTTCGTAACTTCTATGGGATGATTCACACTTTTAAGGTGATGTGTGCATTCTTTTCTTCTCTGTATTCATCTTTTCCAAATTTGAGAAAATAAAAGGTGTTCATTTGTTAGGTGCCATTTTGCCTTTTGCATTAATATTTGTTATACAATGAAAGGATCCTTTTTATATTGACTCGTTTAATGTGCTATGAAGTATCTCTGCAGAATCACCTACACTGTAGTCCTTATCAGCATGAGCAGATAATGACTCACTATACTTACTCAAGAGATGTTCCTGCAAAACAGGATCTTTGCTCCAAATCCCAACACTTAGGTGAAATTCAAACAGTTTAAAAGCTCAAATTCTCTTCCCCTTTGTTTTTGACCTGAAGAGAATTGGCAATTCTGATTTACATTTTAAATCAGTGATTAAGGAAATGTAATCATTAACAATCACTAAGTCCTTACATGTCCATAACTATTGTTAAGAGCTTTACGTGAATTATCTCAATCCTTAAAATGCCTCTAAGAAGGAGTGTACTAGTAATATCCTTGTCCTGTACAAGAGGAAAGTGCATCCCTGAAAGGGACAACTCAGCTCTGGCTTCTAACCCTGTTGTTACAAACGTATACTTTAATTAGTTAATCAGTCACGCTGCATGAAGTGGGGCCTTCGGGCTATCTCCACCACCTCCAGAGGGACTGGAGACTCAAGATCAGCTCTGTGGGAAGTCAGTCCTGTCTATGTGATAAAGTCCTCATAAAAGTCTGGACATCCAGGCTTGTGAGTTTCCCTGGCTGGCAAGATGTCATCACACATCATTGCAGGGAGGTGTTAACCAGCTCCATGACTCCCCCAGGGAAATACTACCAGCTCGGACTTCCAAACCCTGCTGGACTCTGCACCTTGTGCTGATTCTGTGGGCTGGTTTTAATCTGTGCACCTTTGATGTAACAAACCTTAACCTTGAGTGTAGTAGTTTTCAGTGAGTTCTGTGAGTCCTTCTAGTGAATTATTAAATCTGAGCGTGGTTTTGGAAAACCCCGGATTTTGCAGTTGGTGTCACAAGTGAGGGCAGTTCCTAAACTTTGCACTAAGTCACAACGATATTAATATTACAGTGTTTTCTTTTTTATGCAAAATTGGAATATTTTTTGCCTAAATTTAATGATTTTGGTAGTTCCCAAGTAAACAGCTCAACTATATTTATTGTGTGCAGATTTTTAAAGAGTGATTAGAACTTTCCTCTTCCCCTTTTTTAGGTCTTAAAGAAAGATAAAGTGAAATGAAAGCAATTGGCTGTAAGCTTCCTTACTAGATAATTTTGATACTTGTGGAGAATCTCCTTATAAACCTTCAGGACTAAAGTCTACTCAGTTTCTTTTCCTTTTATTTCCTTCTGCTTACCTTACACTTTAAACATTGTAGTTTTTTTTTTAAAGCATTAATCTTTCTTTTTCTTTTTTTTTTTTTTTTGGTGTGTGTAATGTAAAAGCAAAAGATTTTCTCCAGAAAGTTACAGAGGCAAAAGAGAGGCCTTTGAAGCTTAAGGGAAAGAAGGGCAAAGCCAAGATGCCTGGCAAAGTGGTGGGTGGGGAATGCAATGGACATCCCTCGAGAGAGAGAGATTACTCAATCTTAAATTCTTTATTTTTAAATAAATTATTAAATTAGTGTCATCTTGTCCAAATTTAAATTTTATTGTTTTTTTATATTACTAAATATTGTATGTGTTCATATGCCCCAGTAATTTGGGGAACTTAAATGTTTATGGTATTTACGTTCTCTTTAAATTGGTTTTCTTTAAAAAACACATTCCTTTCTGTTTATTGGACATGCCAGCAACAATCATGCACCTGAGAACTGTTTACCACTTGCATTTCAGGAGTTCTCAGAAGAGTGAACTCTGCTCTAAATACCTTTTTAAAGTACCTATTATATGCTGGTTTAGTTGAACGGCAGAGGAGACTTTTCTCCTTCACATTCTCAGAGAAAATTGCACCAGGGCAGCATATCAGAATTTTACTGGCTTCTGTCTCTATGGATAGAGGTCAATTGCAATTTAAGTTGCTGGGATTCTTAAAAATCTACCAAAAGGTAATAGGTCCAGGTGATTTTCCAGCTGGTTTCTATCTAACCTGTAAAGCACAAATAATTTTGACATTCAAGTATTTAAAGCATCATGAGGATGATATGGTTTTAAAATATGTCCCCAAATATTTTACCATCCTTACCTGGAAAGGTGGCGCCTTATTCCCCTTCTGAATATGTGACAAATTTAAGTGACTTGCTTCTAATGAATAGAAAGTGTTAAAAGTGAGAGTGTGTGCCATTTGAAACTAGGTCACAAAAGCTACTGTGGCCACTCTCTCATTCTAGACTTTCTGTTTTCGGATGCTAAAAGCAAGGCTCTTTTTGAGAGTCAATTAGCCCAGACAAGTCTATGTGGCAAGGCCCTGAGCCCATCTAGCCAACAGGCAACCTCTGAAGGCCTCTCACAGAGGAATTCCAGTTCCACTCCCTCGGTGCCTTACAGACACAGCACAGGCCCCGCCCCCCGCCCCGCCCCCGCTGCGTGCCTCAAGCAGAAATTGGACCAATTGCAGAGCAAGCAAACCAGAAGCACCTCTCTGTATTTCGGGAAAATTCGTTTTCAGCCCTTTTTTTGAGCAGTACTAATCTATATAAACAAAAAACACTGAAGAGAACAAAAAGTCGTTACAAGATGTCCTATGCTATCGGTAAACTGTCACCAAATACAGGATCAATTTGAAGAACTGCACACGGAAATGAGAGCTGTGCAAGGCCATCGAAAGGCCATTTTCAGATCAAACTATACTTGTGTGATATGTACTTATGTATAAGTAAATACTTCAATGGTACTAAATGGTTAATGGTCCACAGAGCTTTCCTTGTTCAAAGTTTGTAATTTGTGGTAGCTATAATTATTGCTGGATAACTTTGCAAGTAGTCCTTACCCTGCTTCCACAAAACAGCGGCAGTGTAGGTTTAAATTCATTACGAGAAACCGCTAAAGTGAAAATGTTACAACTCATCTGTTGAAAGAATGAGTGGCTCTGAAAAGAGCCTTTGGGGTTAGAAGTCAAGCGGCTTCCCGCGAGTCTACTTGGCGCTGGTGTACTTGGTGACGGCCTTGGTGCCCTCGGACACCGCGTGCTTGGCCAGCTCCCCAGGCAGCAGCAGGCGCACGGCCGTCTGGATCTCCCGGGACGTGATGGTCGAGCGCTTGTTGTAATGCGCCAGGCGCGACGCCTCGCCCGCGATGCGCTCGAAGATGTCGTTCACGAAGGAGTTCATGATGCCCATGGCCTTGGACGAGATGCCCGTGTCCGGGTGCACTTGCTTGAGCACCTTGTACACGTACACCGAGTAGCTCTCCTTGCGGCTGCGCTTGCGCTTCTTGCCGTCCTTCTTCTGGGCCTTGGTCACCGCCTTCTTGGAGCCCTTCTTCGCGACGGGCGCAGACTTGGTGGGCTCGGGCATAGTAACGTTAAACGTCACAACAGTAATGCCAGGACCTGAAAAAGTAATCTGCTAGCTGCGCCATGATTATTTATAAATGTGGTATTCAAATAAGGTTAGTAAGAATTCGCTACTGATTGGATTAATCCTAATGTGTCGTCACAAATGAGAGTGGAAGTAAACTTTTCCCATCTACCGTTTCATTGGCTATTTCAATCCTTTGCTTGCCCAATCACAAGACCTAGACTATGCTATTCAGAGCCACTGTAGAAGCCTCTTCCTGCACTGCGCTTTGTACTTCAGAAAGCATATTCAAATTTGTCAGTGTACTTCCTTTAGAATTGTGGGAAGACGCAACCTCTGACAGCTAGGATACTTCCACGTATCGAGTCTGGGGTCTCTACCGTGGGCACCTCGTGTCTGAGCTTACATCGTGAGTGCTGAAGCTGATGGATAGGCCGTGGTTGAGAAGCAAATCACTGGACTCCCGCAGCAAAACTACCAGGAAATCAGGAACGTGCTGCGTAAGAGCCAGCAGTCTGTCTTATTTGCTCCATCTAAGTCCTAGTTTGTTAAAGGACGCAGTCAGGTACGGACTGCAGACTAGTGGAGTGGAAACGACCAGTTTCTCTAACCCCTCCCTTACACACTTCCGAGAGCCTCAAAGCGCCCCTCCCTTTAGGGTAACCAACCCCACTTCTCCGGAGTCCCGCCCCTTCTGCCTGCGTAAGCGCTCCAGCCACGCCCCCATAGGAAGTGCAACAGCTTTTTTTCTGAGATGTGTGGGTGGCTCTGAAAAGAGCCTTTGGGTTGTGTCGAATTTTTAACAGTTGGCCAAAGGAACTTTTTACTTCTTCTTGGCCGCCTTCTTTGGCTTGGCTGCCTTGGGCTTAGCAGCCTTTGGTTTAGCCGCCTTGGGTTTCACCGCTTTGGCCTTGGCTGGGCTTTTGGGCGCCTTCTTGGGCTTGGCTGCTTTCGCCTTTTTCGGGCTCTTTGCCTTTTTCGGCCCAGCAGCTGCTGCCGGCTTCTTCGCCTTTTTCGGGGTCTTCTTGGCGCTTTTCTTGGGGGTGGCGGACCCCGCGGCCTTTTTGGGTTTCTTGGCCGCCCCAGCAGCCTTCTTGGGCTTGGCCGCGCCCGCCTTCTTGGCCTTGGGCTTGGCCTCGCCGGAGGCCGCCTTCTTGTTGAGCTTGAAGGAGCCCGAGGCGCCGGTGCCCTTGGTCTGCACCAGGGTACCTTTGCTCACCAGACTCTTGAGGCCCAGCTTGATGCGGCTGTTGTTCTTGTCCACGTCGTAGCCCGCGGCCGCAAGCGCCTTCTTGAGCGCAGCCAGCGACACGCCGCTGCGCTCTTTGGAAGCGGCCACGGCCTTGGTGATGAGCTCGGACACTGGCGGCCCAGACGCCTTGCGCTTAGCAGCACTGGCGCTCTTACGGGCCTTCTTCTTCACCGGAGCCTTCTCGGCAGGGGCCGGGGCTGCGGGCGCGGCAGGCGCGGTCTCGGACATGCTGCGGGCTGGCGTGGGAAGAGATCTCGAGCCGGAAACGAGACACTGGCCGGGACTCGGCCGTGCCGCTGCGCCCGCGCGCTTATATAGGGCGGAGCTGCGCCGTGATTGGTGCGCTGTCCAGCCCGCCTCGCTGGCAGCCGCAGAGTGTCCTCTCGGATCCCGAGTTGTGTTTGTTACACCTCGAAAAATGCCAAAAATATCAAAATTCCCTACACCGAATTGCCCGATTTTTCTCTGAAAGTGATCCGCGAAGTCTCAGGCTTCATCCAGGTCTCAAATTATGAGGAAAGCACAAACCTTTATGCCAAAAACTAGCACTATTTCTCGCCGTGCTTGTCAGATTTCAACTCTGAGAAACAAAACTTTCTATTTTCTTCGTAAATTATAAACTGATCTTTAACTGTGGAGTTTTTTGACCTCTCAAATACGATTCTCCAAGTGGTTAGCTTATTATATGTCCAAAAACAATGCCACTGGAATGAAGATTTTTATTACAAATCTGCGCTTAAGTGAAGGAAGTAACACAGGCTCCTCGGAGAGTCCTGCGTATTGAGCCGAGGGCATTTGAGTTCATCAAACTGGATTACTTTAATGCCAAACCAATTAAAGCCCCCGAGGGGTAAAATTTTGGAGCCCCAGGACATCAGTCTATGCAGACATAGTTTTATTTCTGTTTGGCACCGGGTTTTAACGAATTCCCTAGCAAAATTCTTTTCCTCTCTGCTCCCAAGGGTTGGGGGCGGGGCTGGGGCTTCTGTTCCTCTGGAGAACTGCTCCATGGGTTTAGATACCTTGAGGTCAGGATGTTGGGAAGGAAGGGGAGTCCAAAACATAAGGTACACAAAAACGGACAAGGACTGATTTTTCGAGTAATCCCCAGATGACGTTCCTATAGTCACTAGAAGTGGAGGTGGCTCTGAAGCGTCTGCCTGCGTTTGTGAGGAGTTCTTCTGGTCCTGTCTTCAGGGTCAAATTGTAATATACGAGTAAGAATCGAAATTCAAGCATTGGTCATAAGGGGAAGTGTGTGAGAAGTGTGGGTTGTAAGATGTGAATTCCCACTGTTAAAGAATCCCAGGCACTATTATTGATGAATGACTGTTCTGCACACCAGGTATGCTTCCTTGATGAAGAATATGGCCCTGTGCTTCCCAGACCTCTGTAAAGAAGAAAACAAGTTAGGTGTAGGATTGAATGAGTAGCTCAGATTTCCCTCTCAGAAGCAGAGCTTTGAGGGACAGTGGAAGTTAAGCCAATGACGGCCTCTCATCAATGAGAGGACAATGAGGGACAATGAAAAACGTCAATAAGACAATGACCTTGTTCTCATGAGGTCTTGTGTAGAGAGTTGCTCACTCAACAAAAAGTACAGTTGGCGATGAAAACCCAAAGGATGGAATCATTCCAGCAAAGTGGATTGAGTGGCCTTGTCTCTAAAAACTGCAAGCCATGTGTTTGAGAGACAAAATACAGTTTTGGACAGTGCTAAAATTGATGTGATACTACTCTGGGTATGGCTGGTTGGAACGTGGTCTTGGACAACACGTTGAATTTTAGTACTGTTGTCCCATAATTTCACACATAACAGACCCTTCGGATGATGTCGCTTTGTTCAGTTGAGGTGCACTTTGAGGAATCTGTCTGCAGTCTTGCTGAGTTCTTTTGGCTCGTTGTGACACACTAATTAGACTGAAATAAACACGAGAACAGAAATCTTTGATGCAACATCAGTAAAATGTTTTGAAAACCTTGATTGAATTAATGCTGAAACTGTAATAAAAGTGACATAAACTTTCAACTTTTTAAACTTTTAATGTGTAGACATTTTCAGTGTAATTAGCTCACGTGAGTGAAAAATAAATATGCCCTGTGGTATATATTAAAATAAAAAGGGGGAGGTAAAGTTCCAAAACACGTCAATTAGGGAACCATCCGACTAGGGAACATTCAAGCCAGCAAATGAGGAACATGGATATAGGGGCATTTATTCCAGAAGAAGGGGTATCTCATTTTCACTATGAAAATTACACATGTGAATGGCTTCATTTGCATAACAAATGGAAGTTTTATCTTAAATGACTCTTTTTACTCAGTGTATTCCTTACTACTTCTGACTTGAAGGGACTTAAGCTCCACCTTGTGGGATGTTCCAACTCACCTCTGGTGGTCTGCTGTGGTACAGAGTGTCTTTCTATAAATGAAAGTTCTGGGCAGACTTTAAAGAGGACATTGAGGCTCTGCCACGGGAAAATCGAGCGTGCCTTTGGTGCTCTTTTATGATGAAATTCCAGGAACATCAAGGAGTTCCATCACTGCCATCTGCTCGGCTGGCTGTCTATGCACCACCTACCTTGTGGGAAGGTGCATGTGTTTGTGAGGTCGTGTGGTTCCAAACCAAAATTAAATGGAGTAAAGTAGAAGATCTAATTGGCTTTAGAATGTGAATCAGGAAGTGGGTGACAACCCATCTGTCAATGAGGGGGGCTCTCTGAGAAGTTGTCGAAAATGGTGGGATTTTTGAAGAAAAAAGGTGGGGGAAGGGAGCAATTAGCACAAGAGAAAAGATTATTCTTGAACCTGGACGTCTATTCTTTTGAAGGGAAAGGGAGGGTTTGTGTCATGCAGATTGTCTCTTCTTTCTAAGGGGAAAGATGACCTAACTGGTGCTTGGCTAGAAAACTCCCTACTGGTTGATTAAGTTAATGTTTCTGGGGTTACACCAAAAAAAAACAATCGTGATTGGTTATCTGTGAGGTGTGGGTGCAGTTAGATTAAGTATTAAATCTAGGTTTGGTATCTTGGGCTCTTTAGCATGAGTGATATCATTTTTGTCCTGTGGTTTTTTTTTTCATGAACAATTTTATATAAAGATTCTGAAGTCTTGTTCCAGATGATTCTGAACAAATAACTCCAGCTGGTCTCAGACTCAATACTGATCGAGTTCCTCGGATTCCTCGGGTGTCCACCCGAGTCTGGAAAGCACTGCATTCTTCCTGGAGGTGACCTTGGGTCAAGCATGTTTCACGTCATTCCTGTGGGTTCCTGGACTTGCCTGTGAGACCTATGCAAAGAAGTTGACGCTGGGTATGACCAAGCTTGGGGAGGATGGGGGCAGCACAATCCAAGCCTGATGTCTGTGGATGCATACCTGACCTGAAGCTGCAGTCACTCTGGAAGGAGAGGAGAGAGGACCGTCCACAGGCGGTGGACCGGGCTCTGGCTGCCCGCAGACCACTGCAGTTCCCTCGTATGGCACCTCTACCTCTTACCCCACTTCATCATTCTGCATGAAAATTACCCTTTAATTTATTGCCAACTGCAACCTGCCTTCTCACTGAATCAACTCGAAACCCCCCGGCTTTGGACCGTTTCCCAACTTCACTTAGGATGACGTGGGCTCACAGAGGTTAAGAAATTCTTCTGAGAAGTCTGCTGGAAAGGGCTGTGTCCAACATTCCAGTTCTTAGCTACCTGGCCTTGCAGCAGGTGCTCTAAAACAATGCTGGCCTGAACAGTCGTTAAAGGTTATGAAGCA